GGTCCCATAACAGATATGAACATAAGATGATGAAGCAGGAAGTGATGATTATAGTGATGTGGAGGATAGATAACGAATGACCCTGGACTTGACGAGATTAACATTGTAGTCTGTTCCACAAAGTAGCGGTTCTTGGGAAGAAGGTTTCGGAGTGGAACATTCGTCTTACGAATGGAATACGGAGGGAATGAGGGTGATTCAACTTTGTGGACGCAGCAAGGCGGGTTCTGGCGGCAAAGCTTTGAGCTAGTGACACTAAAGTATGGAGCCCGTCTGGACACTTGCCATGGAAGTATCGAAAGAATAGTGATAGGTTTGAGACTTTTCGTCTATGGGGAAAGATGGTGTAGGGTAGAAATCATCACCCTCCACTTAGTTGCGTAAACGATTTTGAAATCTGTTAAGGCTGGAATAGTGGGCAGTGAATTCGATCTTCTCTGGGTTCCCTAACTAAGCTAAGCTTAATAAATAACAAAAAACCCAGATTTCTAGGTGTGGCAACTGAGGGATGCCCTGTGGCTGAGATAATTATGTGATAAACAAGTCAGCCATACGAGCCATTCATTTCTCTTCCTCGTAGATGTATGACGAACTCATCTACAATTAGTAAAAGACGCTAAATTTGCTAATACTAATCTTTGGTCCACTCGCTGAAGCAAGAAAAACAAGGTTTTTAGCCAAAATTTCAAACATGTCAGATGAGAAAATTAAATAAAATGATCTAAAAATGCTTTGGTCTTTCCTTTTAATAATATGTTTAGAAAAACATCTATAAGATAACCGCCGCCACTTAATCAGTGATGTTACCAGGGTCCCTTACGCGCTTTGGATTTATTTAACAACAGACTCCTTCACTTAGGTAACCCTGCTCGTTGTGATCAAATACCAACATGTGACCGCACCATGAGCCGTGTGAAAATATCAATCGCATAATGAAAGCTTTGAAAGTGTTTTTGGTACCCTAAAAACCGCAAATCAGCTTTTGGTACCCTAAAAACCGCAAATCAGCTTTCCTCAAATTCATCCTCAGGCACTCCACCTCACCATCAGAATAGGAGTAGCCAAAATTCAGGCCTCCTCAGTATAAACATTTTGACGATAAAACTTTGATTTTTATTAAGTTTGGGGACTTATTTCATCATGGTATGCTCATTTTAGAATTATTTTTTTTTTGGCGGTAACTAGTTAAGTTTAATCAATAAAATAAAACCTGTCTTGTGATTTAAGCAGGTATGTTTTTTCTAATGTCTACGGTCTGTGTCTGATCCCACTTAATAAGTCAGGATTTTGAATGCAGTCATTCTCCATCCCTCAAAATACGTAAACTTCAATCTTTTTATTCTAAGTTTAGTCAATAACTGACATGACGGTATGTCTGTTGTGTTGAATTACCCCAAAGATTATTTGCACTTATTATATTCGGACTATTATCCCCGTGTTTGTTGTTTTTATCAAAAAGTTTCAGCCGTTATGACCTCCGGCCTTCCTTAGGTGTATATCGATCTGGGTAACCTCTAGGACAATGGCTTAGTGGGTAAAACGTTGGTTTGTGAATTTGGTGACATTTAGTTGCGGGTTCAATCCTTGGGTCGAGCACTGTGTATTTGCACTCAGTGGAAATGGACAAGCAATAACTGAACAGTACAAAAGAAAAATAAGAACTAGACATGATCAGTGAAAGAGGAACAGTCTAGATTAAAAAAGGTTCTGTTTGGAATTCCTTGTAGGTTACACATATTCCTGAGGAAGACCAGAGTGAACAACGGTTGAAACGTTGTGATGACAACAAAGATAAGGACAATACAAATAGTGCAAATAATGATAACTCCTGATTCCCAGAAATCCAGACAAAAATTACACAAAAGATACCCAAGTAGGGTGTCAAAAATCTGACACAAGGCCATAAAATTAGAGCCTTTTTTACCTGAAAAAAGCGTTTTAATTAGAATGAAAGCAATATTCTTCCTGGAGAGGAAGAATATTGTAAGAAAATAGAGATTTGTGTATTTGAGCAGCAACCCATCTTTTATAGATGTTTCGTTGAATAAGACGTGTAAGGTCATTTTTTTTCTTATATTATTATTATTATTCCTCTGTCTATATTTCTGAGATAGGGTATTTTAGCTATATACACTACATCGTTTGGACTGTTATCCTCATCTTTATTACTATATTCACGACGTTTCGGCCGTTGTACGCTTCTTCAGGTGACATACGTTGGAATATCCAACCGAGCCCTTTATCTAGTCCATGAATATAGATTGTTGTGTGTTGTGAGTTCGATACCTGGCCACAACAGAGGGAACAAAAACTTGAACAGTTGAGTTATCTAGAGGAATTAACTGAAACTGAAACAGTACAAAAAAGGCATGGCATGTGGAATTAGAACAATCTACCCCTGTGAACTAAATAAAGGGTTCGATTCGAAATTCTAACGAATAACACCCGAAGAAGGCCGGAGCGTATAAAGGCCGAAACGTCGTGAATATGGTAATAAAGATGAGGACAACAGTCCGAACGACGTAAATGGTGTAAATAACTATTATTCCTGCATACGTACAAACGTTTTTCTTTTGTGGACTTAATAATTAAAAAAAAAAAAAAAAAAAAAAATCAAAGGTTTATTGATTCCGGATGCTTTCGGCGAAACTGTTTTGCTATATTTTATAATATCATAAAAAAAAATGTCGACACAACCACCACCTCCACCACCATCACCAGCTCGGTCATCTTCAAATGTCTAACATATAGCACGCTTCGTTGATTATGGTTTTCCACATCGGATGATCCCTAGCGGTTTCAATGATGTCTTTGTATACTTGGGTTTGGTATTGTATATTGTCCAATTTATTTTTTTTCTTCTTCCTTTTTTTGGCGTTTTCCAGACATATGGTTTTGTAATGTAAGGCATTCAATGCTACCATATCTAATGACATGGCTCAGGAATTTAAGTTTTCTGAAAATCTAAACTATAAAAGCCTTTTCATGTCATATATAAAGACGAATAGTAAAATAAAAAACAACAAAAAACAAA